GAATGCCTAGATCTAAGTCAAGGTGTAGGTGTGAGATTTAGAGAAATTTTTTTTTTCTTTCTTCCATTTACCAAGAAAACTGAAAGAAACATTGTTCTTCCCCAAATGTTTACCTTCTGTACCACGTGAAATATATTCTGTCAAAAGATGTACCTAAACCCAACTGTCCACAAAAATACTTAATACTTCCATCCATATATTTCAGTAGACTTACACTCCACTTCTCACAAGAATCGATCTCGTCTCTGGGCCAAATCCAACCAGCTCCAAATCAGGGATTTCTTCATTGATGATGTCTAATGCTTTCCCATCTTCATCATCAGACTGATAAAGTGCCACTGATGACTCTATGAAATCCTGAGAGACAGCACAGGAGTTAGAAGACAGGCCAGCACAGCTCAGTGACACTTCACAGCGTAAAACATTTTGAAAAAGAGTTGTAGCCTGAAAGATAGTGTTTTATAAAGCAGTGAAGGGGCTTAGGTCCCTTGTGTGGACCTTTGCAGGACATTTTGGCATTGAAGTGCCTAGCTAGAAGCCTGGCAATCTGATGTGACCTTCAGTGGTTTCCACTGAAGACAGGAAGAACCTGATGCCCCTGAGCACCACCCTTTCCTCTGTGAGGGTGACTGAGAATGCAAGATGCCTGTGTGGGAAAGAGAAGGGTTTGAGATTTAGCATTGATCTTCCGACAGCTTCACAAATGACTACTCCAAGCATTACCAGGACTACAGTCTTTTACTTCAAGTTCTCCTTCCTCAAGGAGTGACAAGGCAAAAATCATGGAGAGGAAAAGACTGGGCAAGATCACCTTTCCAGCACAAGGGGTTTGTAGTTTTTGGATACATCCATTGTATGACTAATCACTACAGCTATAAAATAAATCCTGCACGGTACCGTCATGTTCTTTCTTATATAGCCGTGTGACATTGCTTTATGCTTTCAACTAGCATAGCTGTTTGACCAGATTACTTGCACAGCTTCAGATTATTTGAATTTGGGTTTCAAATCTTCAACTTTTTAACCACTTAGCAATTTAAACACATAGTTCAGTCACTGCCTAGGGAAATGGAAAACAACAATCCATTCACTTTCTTCCTTTAACTTTTAACAAAAAGCATAAACTCAATTAAATTTCAGCGTTTCTGAAACATTCGGTAATGTTACATGAAGTAGCAAATAAGTAAGCCTTGCAAACAAGAGGAAAGGCTATCAAGCAAATACAGGAGCCAAAGCAGATCCACAAACATATGAGGACACCATCACAGGAATTATTGCACTAAATACTTGCTGCTATAGCACTTACAAGCTACCAACTGGAGATCAGTCTGCTGAAGGCTACACTGAGAAAACAAAGACAATCAAAAACCACTTAGAAGTTAAGGCCAGGCCAAGCATGCAGGCAGATTCATTTGGTCAGGTAAATCTGACCAAACAGGCTCTTTAGAGGACACCATGCCTTTATACAGGATTCAATCATAATGAATAATGAAACCAATTATAGAATGAACAGTTGTTGTGGCTCAACCTCTCTGCATCGTTTACAGGACACTAAAAAGTGACAGAACAAATTCTGCAGTAAAACTAATTTTCCTACTAGGTTGACCAACTCCTCCTTTTATTTATCTAAAAAGTTGCAACTAATTCAGGTATACCCTAGAAATTAAAGTGCCACATCTGGTAAAATTATCATGAACAACTGCAGCTTCAGACTACTTTTTAGGAAAAAAAACCACCCCAAACCAGTGCAGTTTTAGCACCAATGAAAACCAGCTACTCTTAATAGTCCTAAAGCAAGGACTTCGTAAGAGTTCCTGAAAAGCCATTTAGATCAAATCAGCACATAATTTCTTTGACTAAATTTAAAATACTGAAATATATGCACAATTGTAATTACATTTAAAACATGTTTCAAATTCAGCCGTCATTTTTTCCTCCCTAAATTTTCACTACAGCTTCTTTTAAAATAAGCAATTCGAGAAATACTTAAAAATGGACTTTCAGGCCATGGCAAATCATTTTAGACTTGAAAACATTAGTGGGAAAGCTCCAAAGGCAACATACTCTGCTCCACTGAAAGAGACTCAGTCCTGATCGTGACACCCATGGGAAAACCCCAGCTTCACTGATTCTCTCATCTGACACTGCAGAAAAGAAGCAAACACAACTGTCCCCCAGACCAGCACACAGTACAAACTGCTGCCTGCCCTCAGGAACAGGCTCGGTATTTGACTCTAGTGCGTCCAGTATAGATGCTGATAACAGAGCTGGCAGTATGCTGGAAAACAGAATTCTGCAAGACCTTTCTATCTCTTCTTTCAAAACACTCCCTGAATCCCCACATTAGAGCTTGTGATCGTTCACAGCAGAAATATTTAGGACAGACAAAAACTGAAAGCTCTTGCAGTATGCCTACATACGTGTACATCTTCACCAGTGGGTGGGGAGGGGTGACTTGCAACAATCCCTCTTTTGTGTGTGTTGTCTAACCTTTCTGATTTGTCAGGAAATTAAATTCATGCCTCAGCTCAACTGCAGACATGGGTATGTGTACAGAAACACGGGTTGGATTTTCCTAGTGCTAATAAGCTCTGGTGGAACCTGTCATGTTGAGCATTGTGGTGCAGAAACACCTGAATAGCTTTGCATAGCACTAAGCCACGTTGACAGTGCTGGTACTGACACAGGCTAACGAGGCACGCTGTACCCAGCCTGGCTCTCTGCAGAGCCATTTACGTGCTTCTGCACCACACTCCCTGCTTTGGGAGCATGGCACAAAAACATTTGATCTGACTCTGCCTGGAGCTGAGTCAGGTACGCAGAGCTCATTAGCTTCAGCTTCATGCCATGTGAGCCAGGCTAAATTGTTTTCAGGTCTGGGCTGGTCTTACATCCAACACAGTCAAGGTCACTGGTGTCATGCCTGAGAGAAAAACAAAACAAAACAAAAAACCCCAAGGTCTAGCTGGATTGGCCCCTACATGAGACTACATGAGCAAGTATGTATAAAGAGCAGAGTCAATGCCCAGCCCCACTCCCTACCTGAGCTGACCATGATAATGCAACTCGGCTACATTTCACAAAATCCTTAATCCTCTACCAAGACTCATGAATTCATCTGACTAAAAAAGAATTTCTAGGGAAGAGCAATAAAGATCTGATATCCAGGAAGACTCCTGGAGTTCGAGACCATTGCAACCTTTACTGCACTTCTGACAGAATTTCTGAGATTACGGAGAAGAGCTAGCACATTCGCTGTGTGGCGAGGGGCCTTAAGCACACAGAACTAGTTTTGGATTTTTGCCCAGGTCTCCTTGAAAACAAGAGTTTGCTACTAAAGTGTTTTGAAAATCCTGACCTTAAGTACAGCGTACAAAGTCATGAAGGGAGCATATGGCAAGCCTGAACACTGACCTATGTACTGCACATCAGAGAGAGGCGGTCAATCTGTTGGTCGAGCTGAAGAACAAAATGCCAGTGCCATTTGTCATTTTATTAGCAACTAACTCATTGCCTTTAGTTATGCTACAATTTGAGGAAAGGTATTACTTACACTTTTATTATCAATATGTACATATATTGATATATATTTATACGCCAATTTGAATGATATATGTTGATATATGAGTGCAAATGATACATGTTTTTAAAATGTTAATGACTTGAGCATCCTGACTGTTCTAAGCGTGAGTCAAATTAAATACATGCATATACGTGGGAGGTGATGCCTGCTAGGCACGTGCACAATTTTAAGCTTGCAATTATGTCCTTTGCCAAGGGGAAGATTTAAAGAGATAAATTTAAGTTACTCAAGTATCCTACGTATACCCTGAAAAGAAAGAAAAAACTAACATTAGTCAGTAATTGAACAGGATTCTGCACATTCAAAACCAGGAGTTATGAGAAAATTCCTGTTTTTCTCAGAAACTTGAGAATAAATTCTTTAGAGAAGGACATTTGTCTTCTGTTTATTTGCCTATCATTATTTTAAGTTATATGATAGATTCTGATTATAAATATAGCTTTTCCTAGGTGTCTTTCATCAAAATAAAAACTGGACATTGTGAATTTAAGTGAATTTTTGGGTTAACTTTTTTTTTTTTTAAAAAATAATGACTGTTAAGAGAAAGAGTTTGCTCTAAATGCCTGTCTTCAAGCCTCACAAAATTCCTGGCTCAGGAATATCACATCTCCTCTGATGAGGAGATGAATAATCTAAGTAATCTCAGAATGAACAATCTAATTCTTGAAAGAAGCCTCTCTTTGCAGCTGTATTTAAAGCTCACAGAGTTCCTATTATAATAAAAAAATCCTCAAAATCCCAAACAAATAAAAAACCCCCAAACCAAAGGGAATTATAAAGACGTTCTAATCCCACTTTGCTTCCAATACGGGACTCTGATACTGGTTTTATTATTATTTCATCTTTGCCCCCACTAAACACATTTTAGTAGCAGGGATTTTTTCACCATGATTATTTTTGCTGCCAAAATTTTCTGGCACAAAAATCACAGAGACAGAGGGTAATGCTGTTTTAAGGCTTGCAACAGCTGCTGTATTGAAAAGCTATTTTTATTTTAATACAGAACTACACTGTACACTTATGCACGTTAAACTTTTAAGAAAATTCTGTTCAGTACAGAATTGAGATGCCTGGAAAATCTGGCAGGTAGACAAGGAATTCTGCATGATACATTCTTTGTATGAACTTTACAAAGGCTATTTAGAACCTGCTTCTGCTTTACAATGTATACAGTGTAGTCCAAATTTCAGCAAGTAGGAATAGAATGAGGGCGAACTTGGGCAAAAGATGGAACGACTAAAACCAAGACAGCTGTACCATATACGAAGAATAACCTTCTTCTTTATGTATAGAACTGTGCATAACTTGTATGAAATTCATGAAAGTACTTACAGCCTGAAGGAACCGGAAAGACAGGAGGACACTGTCAGTTCCCCCCCATGAGCATCTGTCTTCATAATCTCCCTCCTCCAGCAAGTACTGTTGGCCTTTGTAGCGTTCCTTACCATAGGCAACCCATCTACAGCAACCATACAACAAAAGAAAGAGAAATAACTAAAACCAGAACAACCACACATGTGATTTTCCATAACAAACAAAAGGGGAAGAGAACATCCTAAGAACACTAAGATGAGCATCACAGACTCAGCTAACAAACAAAGCAATGCTTGTTTGAAATCACAACAGGCACCCATGAAGCGTTCTTTGTGGATCAAAATCCCACCATCTGATTCTTTCTCCAACAACAGTTTATTTGTGTAATGCTTCTCCATGTACCTCCGCTCAGTCAGCCACATTCCCAATACCAGTATTCGGTACCACAGAGGCTAGTACACACATCTAGTGGCTGAAACACTGTAAGCCACCAATTGTCAATGAGAAAAACCAAGCAGTAGATCTCTTCAGTCTATGAATAAATAACGAGATTCTACCCTCACTGGAGCTGGTGACAAAATTAATGGATTTCAGCAGAACAAAATGTCACGCACCTGTGTTGTTCCGTGCTTTTATCTAAAAATATACATATGAATAGACAAGCAAATTGAACGTATGCAATATATTGTATATGGAATATATTTTAGCACTAAGAAAAATTTTTAAAGTATTTTGAACAAATGGGTAAGGCTCGATTAAAAGAAGGCATTGCCACATCAACTTTGAAAGCTCTAATGGATCTTAATTCGAAAAAGTGCTTTCTCCTCCTCCTTTCTTTCTTGTAAGCATTTCTTTCATTAAAGTTCCCTTGTAAGTATTAGAACTGCTGTACAAATTCTGTTAGCATTGAAATTTGGCAGGCAGGGATAGCTTTACTTTTAGTACTATTTGGTTTACATTAATTCAGCTGTTTAAGTAACTGCAGTATGAAAAATAAAAGCCGCCACAACAGATGGAAGGATGAATTTTAATATTTTGAGGCTTCCCAGATAGCTAAGATGTAATGTATTTATGAACAGATTGCTTGAATATTCACAATTAAGTTTATTTTTAATTTAGTGCTTGTAAGATTCTGACAACAACCTGAAAGAATGTATGATATTGAATCTTTATATTCAAGTATTAACATTGAAATCCCCTAAGAAAAAAAAAAAGTTTCTGAAAACTATGTTATTGCTAAGCTCTTTGGCAGAAGCAAGCATCCTGCATGCTTTCAAACAGTCCTATCCTTCTGGGTCTTGGGAGAGGTTGAAAGAACAATGCATGGGGTTGGTAGCTCTCTAGAATAAACGGAGCTGAGCCTACCTTGCGAGCAGTGCACCTAAGGACTGTGTCACACAGCCGTGTGTGTGTGACAGAGAGAGGGGCAGGGCAACACAGGATCAATCCAAGGCCTCAACGAAGGAAAACAAGGGTGGATACTTAATTCCAGATAACATGCAACAGGTGGCAAAGAAAAACCATTAAGACAATAAAACAGTTTATCGATTTCAGAGGCATTAAAATGTCAAACTGAAGACTGACCACACCTACCTAAGGTCATTTCAGTAAATGAAGTCGAGATGATCAGAAGTATAAAGCAATATAAATTAAAGCTCTGTGCGAATGCTGTCATTAAGGAACAAAGTGGCCTAGTTTATTGGCATCCAAATGGTAAACACTGACTTCACACTTCTCACACACTTAGTTTTACCTTCCTATATTCCCTTAGATAGATAAGCCATATGAGGAGGTTGTTTTATCCAAGGCTGATAATTGACAAGGGAAATACATATTGCATTATTTTCAAAATATTTTATCAGTTAGAGATTCTAAACACCCCATAGCGCTTCTTAGCATTTAGTTATGATTTCCTATTTTAAAGTAAATAAATACAGAAGTGAGATATACTTACACTCCACCAATTACACGTATTGATCCAATTTCCTGAAACTCCTCTTCGCTACCAAACAGAGCTGGGACAGAACTGATGTTTTCTGAAAACTCTTTGGACCATCCTCCAAAGTGAGTTTTCTCATATATTATTATCTAGAAAACATGATGTTGAACAATGCCTTGAGTATGCCCTGACTAATAATTTGAAGTTTGAGTGTGTGTACTGCTACAGTATGCGGAAGACATCTTCACCCCCCCCTCCCCCCAACAAGCCACTACTATAAAGAAAATTCAGGGTTGCATTCCTCAGCCCTTCTGACTTTAGTGCCCTACGAGCAGAGGAGACCCTATTCGGATTTAGATAGGCTTGTCAGGCTATTTGCAGACATTTCCACAGGATACTTGTTCACACAATTCTATATACATAAAGGCACTCTGCAGCTATATGACTATGATTTATCCTACAATCCCATGCCTGGGCAGTGTATATTAGCCCGCAGTGAATCCTACCTGGTCACAGCTAGACACACTGAGCTTGACCCCTCAAAAGTAGACAAGAGGTCTTTCTCTGTACTTTGCTGAAGTTATTTCAGTTACTGCAGTTAACACACTCTCTGGGTTCCTCATCTGCCAAACCACACAGATCAGCTATTAATAGTATTACTATTTGTTGCAATATTTATTAGAAAAACTCCTCAGTTTTGCATGTATTTGTATAATTAAAAGTTACCTAAAGCATTAGCATTCTTGTGGAGAACTAGAAAAAGGAAGGAAAAGGAGCAGTAACTCTGCATTAGCTTTCTGCTCCTCAAATCACAGTAGGGTCATGGTCTCACTCATGACTCTTGTACTGGGATCCAGTACAGGAAAGAAGGGTCCTATTCCTGCCCTGCCCCCCCCCCCCTTTCGTGTCCTGTCGCCCCCCCCCCCCCCCCCCCTTTTTTTTTAAAAACTTGGTATGTTAAATGGGAAAAATCTCTCCTGATCTCTTTCCATTACAGTGACTGATGCATTAGTCAGGAAAAGTCATTTTATGTTGTAAAAGCTTTACAATCCTTCTATAGCAAATTCACATTCTCCTAATACATAAAACCCAAACTACTACTACTTTTACATCTCATGAAACACTTGTAAGAAAGCAGACAGTAGCAAACATTAAATACTTAATCAAACATCACATACCCAACAAAAAGAAAACAGCCTAATTAAAACTTTTATATTTAATTTCATATTTTATTCTCAGTATCCTCAGTGCTTACCTTGACATTCATTGGCATTTGTACCTTTAGTCCACCCTAAAAAAAGATGGGGGGGGGAGGGAGAAGAAAGGTTTTTATACAAAACTTAAAGTTACATTTTGACACTTATTTTACAGTAATATCAGAGCATGAACTCTTTGTAATTATATTCACCATTTTCAGTGTTGGCCAAAACAAAAACTAGTTTAAATACTCTGGTAATTCATAAAGGCCAGGGACACTATAAACCTGAGCTACAAACAAAATCAGTGCATTGCAAGCCTGTAGGGGTGCAATTTTAAAATACTCCTTTGTTGTCTATTAGCACTCTAAAGCAAATATTTACTTTGAGTTTTTTTAACTAATTTACATTGACCAATTTAAAAAAATGTAACTTTTAAAGCTGTGTTGTATATATTTTAAGTTTCTTAAGTACAAATGATGAAACACTAAGAAACTATAGAAGAGACAGAAAATATAGGCTGACATATTCATATCTGTGGTCAAAGAGCAAATACAACAAATGCATTTTCTCTGGAAATGCTAGCAAATAATGTTCTGTGGGAGAATAAGACACCTACCTCCCAGGAGCGACTAAAGACAGCTGTTTGATTTTATTCCTTTGAGACTTTTAAACTCTCTTTCTGTAGACTCGCTATGTATACAGTGGAATTATGCGTTATACTCTTCCACATCTCTTTCATACTTAGATCTACATGCTATCAAAACAAAAATTAGCTGCACCTCCCAAGATTTTTGTGTAATGTGTATGGTCACAGAAAAACTACTGGGTATTTTTCAATAAACTCCTCACCTGGTCCTTCCATCCCCAGCAGACTCTAGCTGTACCACCGAAAAGAAAATCAACGTCTGAAGAGCTTTTTTAGTTAATGTATTGGTGTTGGTTGCAATACAATTACAAGTCTTTCAGTTCTGTCTTATTTGATCTCCCCTCGACAACAGCAGTTCCCCAGGAAGATGTCCTAGTCAATCAGGCGCTCCCTCTGACTATGTGCTCTTACTTGGGCAGATGCAGGAGCCCAGCAAGCCCTGGAAGAGCGAATGCCGTGCCATTACAACACTGCAAATGCACCGTGGTGTGAGAGGAGCGTTACAAGTACAAGGATTAACCCTGAAAGGATGTTAGAACCTAAGTTATATTTAGATCAAAACCTCTGGAGGAGAAACGGTAGGAAAAGAAAGGCACACAACCTACTAGGGAATTGTGAAGTCCTCACCATTTTTAAGGGACGCAGAGATTTCACATCTGCTGAAGGAATTTCAGATGATAAATCACATTCTTCCAAAACCTTCATCTCTCCTTTGTAATTAAAGTCTGAATAAGCAAGCCATCTATAACAGTAAGGATACAGGACTTATTAATCTCATTGGATACACTACAAATACAATGACCTTATTAAAATTATTTTTCTTTTTTGTACTCAGAGGTAGACGATGTGTTTCAGATACTGCCAGCACATCAAAACCATGCTCTATTTAAATACACTGGCAACATCAACACTAAGCAGATCTCAGATACTTTTTCTCAATCCAAGCTAAACATGAATGAAACAGCAGAAAATTACCAATTTGTTCATTAAGAACCCTGTTTGTTACACTACAAGTATACAAAACCAATGCCAGTATTGAGGATGAGACGCATCAAATTTTACCTAGGATTGCCACTTCAGGAATTAAAAGGCTTCTAATATCAATCTCAGGGTTTTTTCCAGTGGAAATTATTAAAATACAATAATTTACAACACTCCTTTGGAAAGCAGGCTATCACAATTTTAACACGAAGATTAAAAATACTGAGACTCCTTCAGACTGTTTTAAATCAGAAAGCTGAATGTAGAAGTTGGACACAGGGTTCATAGACCAAATAAGGAATGGAAGAAGAGGCATTGAGCCATATAGAAAATTACTTTCTTAAAACTACACACACAGACTACAAGCAGTTAAAAGTTAGACTAAGTTCTCAGTAAACTAAGACAAAACTTTGGTTTTCATTCTTTCACCACCTCAAGATTCATGCGCATATTGTGAGATCATAGGAAGGAAGGCGTGGCTCACATGGAAAGGCAAACTCAAGACTCTGTTTAACAGAATAGCTAATGTCATTCTGCAATGATTTATGAGAAGAGGCACAGAATTCCTAAACTTCAGGAACTGTAAAGTGTTGGCCATTGACCCAGGAAACAGACTATTCTGCTCAATACAGGAAATCCTGGGCTATGGAGGGGCCTGTGTCATATTTTATCACCTCTCCAGAAAGCCAGAATATGGCTGTAGCTTGAGGAATGCTTGGATGATGTAATATTCATTTTCTGGTATTCAGCCATAGTGTTATAACAGGGTGGGTGAATAGGGAGACAGTATCTATTCTCCAATGAACTAAAAAAACTAATTAACTAAAAGCTAATTATAGCTGAGCTGCTGCTTCTATTTATAAAGCTACGCAAAAGATGGAATTATAGAAGACTCCTGCCAGCAACTAGAGGAAAAACGCCTTCAAAAATTTGGTTTCACTGCTAGGAGCCCACATAGCACAATGCTGAAGTGTAGAGCTGGGAATATCTAGTGTATGCTAATTGATTTGTAGCAAAAACTTCAAATATTGTTCCTATTGCTGACTGACTACTTCAAACATTGTTCCTATTGCTGACTGACTTTCATCCCATGATGTTACCCCTCTACATGCTGGCAAAATGCTATTAAAAAGGTTCAGTACTCACACTCCTGATTTGACACTTATATAAGGGTTTTTCTCAACATCCAGTTCTTCTAAATTGGCAACTGCACTCTGTATGCAGATAGGAAGTCCCTCTGTGCTGGCTCCCAGACAGAACTCTACCTCTGGAATGCCACAGTCCTGTGGAAACAAATGAAAGGGTAAGGCTTATCCGTGCTTGCAGAGTCCGCCCCACCATGGCAGGGGAAGGACAGGTAACATTTCCTTCTTTTTCCCTCTCTCCTCACCCTTCTAACCTAACTCCACACTTCATACGATGCAAGTTTTTAATGAGCACTGGGATTTTTAGAAAAGCTAAGGGAAGTAAATTTCCAGCTCCCACTAACTTTCAAAGAAAAACTATGCATTTATGCCTGTTGGGCTACCTTCAAAATGCTGTTTAAATGCTCTCCAAGTAAAGGATCTTACAGTATTTACTGACAGACAAACCATGCATATAATACTGTGGATTTTTTTTTTTTTTTAAAGACAGTGATTCTGTAACACACATATAGATACATATGATGCACGCATAACTAAAACTTTCTAGAAATGTCTAGTACTTCATTACTGCTTCCTCCATTCAGTGATAAGGTTCTGTAATGCATCCGACTATGGTTTCAAGCCATATGAGTTCAATTTTCTGCCATGTTAAAAAAATCTACAGCATTTTAGACAAAGAAAGAAAAAGAACAGTACTGGAAAGTATTTGTTTTGTTAAGTACACACTTTAGTAATTTTTCTGTTACTACAGAGCAACAACCTCTGTTACCTTACTGAAGGTTTTCTACTGAGAGATACCATGCTGAAAAAACAATGTGTTGAACACACGATCTTCTCTAGAATTTGCAGGGATTTTATTGCCTTAATTTCATAATATTTCTATAAAATGCATCGCCAATTCTTTCTTTCTCAGCATTGAAACACGTCATGAATCAATGAGGATGTTCTATAAGGCCCTGCCTCAGCAGTGTGTTACAGAACAGTCTTCCTGTTACAGTGAAAGGTGGCTCATGTGCCTACAGAGGTTGCTCAGCTGTAGCTGGAAACCTTCAGTTCACTGCACCCTCCCCCTTATCTTCCTGACCCACAGGCCCATTTGCATTAGGCCAGAGGGCTCGGACAGCATAGAGAGATCCCGAAAGTCCTAAAGAGGCTGGAGGAAGATGCCCCTTGTGTGCGAGCTAGAAAAGAGGGATGAGAAGCTGTCCCTGAGGGTGCCCTTGGAGAAGCACTTGGTTACCGGATTTGTTGAGGATGCAGGCAGGGTCCCATCATTACAGAGTTCTCACACTGCCTGTGGCTTCTACCAGGCCCGAGAGGCAAAACATAAGAGCTTGCAGAGAAACTCAGCATCGGAGCACAAAAGCTCTTGAAGTTACAGCACCTCATCTCATGACAATACCTGCTTGTTCTCCCTTTCTACATAGGTTTTGAGTGGAGCTTTCAAATGATGGAGTAACATCCCACCTAGAAACACATCTCTTCTCGGTTAACAAACTTCTTTTGGTACTTATTTAACTATCAGCAATAAATGTGGGGGTTATAATAGACAGGCTTCAGGATATTGTTTCACTTTCCTCATGAGACCTGAAGTAACAGTGTACTGTTTTGGCAACTCTCCCTCATGTAGAGAGGTGTTTCTTCTGTATTGTACCTTGTAAACAATGCACATTATTTGTTTTCAAAACAAAAACTGCAATACCAGAATTTTTATTTTCAGATGACCAAAACCAGAAAAACTAGGAAAAAAGCCTTCTAGTACAATGCTACTTTATGGCCAAGTGCTAAGGAACACCATTCCTCAATTCTACGTGTATTGCCAGACAAGTTTAAAAACAACAAACCACAACCTCCTCATAATTTTCACATGTATATGTATCTTATTAAATGACAGGTAAGAAATATTTGAAATTTGGGGTCCTTTTTCTAATAATACCTGATACGTAAGAAGGATCTGTAACTCCAACAATAAAGCTTGATACAGAAAATTAGAAGATGCACCTTTAAGAATTCCACAAGTAACAATACTAGACTCTTAATGGTTTCAGATAAATTCTGAAACAAAGTACCTACAAAACTAGACAAGCGGCAAAATAAAGTATCTTTGCCTGCAGGCTCAGACAGAATATGAGTCGGAGTACATTTAATTTTCATTCTGTAGGAGGTGGTTGGTTTTTTTTTTCATTTGAAGATCGAAAGAAGCCAGTCTGCATTCTCTTTTCAAGTTTGCTTTCCTGACTCTGAAGCTCATGAGGCAGGCTCCACCTCAACAGATGAAGAATGTAGCAGTTCTCCAAAGGGCAGGAAAAGCACAAGCACTCATAATAAAAATCTCTCCTATTTATCATCATGTCTTTCCAGACAGATTTTGATAGTAATAAAAAAAACCTCTACACATTGTGATGGTATTGTGGTCTGCACTAGATCAAGTCCACAAAGTCCCTTTGTAAAATGTCACATAGTAAACTGAGGTCTGTCAAAAGCAATTCAAATATCTATTTTTAAATATAATAACATGTTTGAGCAAAAACGTACATTGTATTTTCTAAGGACATTTTTTAAAAATCACAAATATATATTTTGACTTAAATATTGAGTTCAATTTACATATATTAATTCACAGACTGCAGAATATGGTAAAATTTAGTATTACTCTACAAGGTGAGCACGACGTATTTGCAGATGTACACACAAATACTATGCCATTAATTTATATAATTTAAGCATGTAAACTTTAGCTTGGTAAATATTTGCCCTAGCATGTTCATATTTGCCTGAGCATATTTAATAGGCATCATTACTTTCAGAGGCTTCTTTAACATCCCTAATAAAGCCACCATCTTTAGAAACAAAATGAAAACCACACAAATACGATAGCATTCAGGTTGAGAACTAGATTCTTCAGTCCAAAGCCCTTTCATTTGCGAGGCGTCAAGATTTTCAAACAAGATACCCACATGCAAAACTATTACCACAGTGTTTCAGGCCAGATCTAAAACTGGAAAGTTTCTTCCCTATACGCCCCTGTCCCTGCCATCCCCGTCACAAGCAGTCAAAACTCATGCCATGTTCATTATCCTACTTACACATCAGGCAAAAACAGAACAAAAAGCATAGCAAACAGATTAGGCAGCTGTGTTCATTTCCAATGATAATACACAAGCAGCAAATGCTTAGGTAGGTCACAGCCTCCAGGCATCCCGCTCAGTCTTCCTTTACTCTGTGGTACCGTCCTCCTACCTCCACATAGTCATCCTGGAGTGTCTGTGGTTCCCTCATGGTCTTTTGGGAGCAGACATGTTTACAAGAGCACTCTGGCTAGCTTGCAGAGAACAGACACTTCCAAAACAGCAACACACCTCTCAGGAGAAAGGTTAAGGCTTCTTCTGAAGAGGGTTAAGATGACTCTTAAGACTTTAGCATTACGTATTACTCTTTGGTGGCCTGTCTGACATTTTTCTAGTCTGACCAAGAGCTCCACCCTAAGTTAGAGACCCAGAGCCTTCAACCCCCTCAAGGTGGTCTTGGCCATCTACCCTTCTTCCAGCTCTAGGGTTACAGCTCTAACAGCACCCACAGGGCTACATCATTTCAGCACTGTTAGGTCTTTTCTTTGGAGTTGTAAGCAGTGGTGACTGAAGTGATCAAAATAGCCTATTTAAATGTGGTAGCCTGTTACGTCCACAGCAGGACAAAGAATGACTAAAGCCTGGCTTCTTAAGCTAAATGCCAAAACAACAGTGAGAGAAGAATCTATTGAAAACCAAGACTAATTAGTTCTGGTATTCATATCATCACTTTTTAATACAGTCTAGACACACATCTTTTGATACGCAGTTTGTCCTTAGGACACGTCAGTTTCTGCAGCATTTTTTATTTTAAATCTTACACTCTGTTGGTCCTCCAGCCTTTTTTACCCATTCATAATTCTTTCTCCCAGTTCTCCTGCTCTGTACCACTCTCGCTACCACCCATCACCACCAAATCAAACTACAGAACTCAACAGGACTGGTAGTAAAATAAAATAATATTAATATTAATGATTACTATCTTGTAAACACCAACTAGCAAATGAGACAACCCGAAGCTGCTGGGTGTCTTCCTATGGCATCTGACAAAGTAGTCGACGCTTGAATTAATAACTTCTTTTCACCTAGCAAACCACACAAACAAAAGCAACGCACCCTTCATGCAAAACCGTGAACATTCCCACTACATAGAGCTTTGCTTAAGGAGTGTCCACAAGGAATCCTGCTATTCCCTGCCTAACCATCTTGCAGACAGAGATTATAAACTGCTGTTTCAGATCTCTTATCACCTTGCAAAATAGATGTTTACAAGATTACTCCAGAATGGAAACATCAGTGACTCTTCTCAGCTCGTGCGTTTGGGAAAGTAACATTTAGCATCCTCTCTGGGCTTCCAGAAACAGACAGAAAAAGCCCTCCAATTTCCTAAGATCAATATATGCCTGTGCAGTAGACCAGTGAACTGACTTGGCTAAACAGGTTGTGTTGCAGGAGCTGCACAGAACCTGTGTGCGCAGGCACATTTTGCTAGCCTAGTCTCATGTTGATTTGCCTTAGTGGAATTCAGACTCCTCATTAGAGGTCTTCATTCTACTAGTTGCGTGATCTGTTCCTTTAGGATCTGTTCCCCCTCCTAAGTTCCTTCAAATTAAACACACATGGATACATCTAATGCGTATCCCACAGTAAGTCAAGCCACAGGCTAACCACAAAGCTAACAGAACCTTTGCTTTTTGTGGAGGCTTGAAGCCAAGTCGGAGCATGAAGCTACTGGCAGACTGTTTCTCAGTAAACTAACATCCGCCAGTAAAAAAATAATATTAAATGTACCTCCTACAGTTTCTTTAGTAAACATCTGTTTTTTCTCTTCTTGGCAAGCCATTTTCTTCTCAAATATTTAGCCAATTTTCAAACCTGCTAACTCAAGCCATCTGAGCAGCCACTAAACAAGCACCATTATAAAGCCTCTTGAAGAATCAGAAGACAAGCCAAACAGCCTGGACACACAGCCAGTATGACCAAACTAGGCAGGAGAAAAGCCACCAAGCTACCCAGCCTATGAAAATGGGAATGACAGTAAAATGTATGATCCTGCAGATCACATACACATGAGCTGCCTGAAAAAAAAATCCAGCTGTTTGTCAATTAAAAACAATGCCTATATCTTTCACAACAAAAAATTAATAAAATAGTACTTTGGCAAACCACGTTCTTCAAGTACTTTCACAGCAGCTGAAGTACAACCTAAAAAAGATGGATGCTTTCACAAATCAAGGTTGAGAGGACAAAACCCGGCTTAGTGAGTTCCATACCCACACTAGCTCTATACAGCCCCATGGACTAACAGGAAAAGTCCTCCCAACCAACCATACCTGCTAAAGGTCTAAGTTACATGAGAAAGTGTTGATTAGTGAACTAGCATACTATAACAAAGCCTTCCATCTGTGTTCCATACAAATGAACCACATACTGGAAGAAGAACAACACTCAAACCTACTTACCTATATTACAAAGATTTTTATCAAGCGTGACGAAGCTAACCACAGTGTCTTTCCTATCCAAGGCTTTTCTTTGCTACCCAAGACACACCCAGCTTCTCTCAGCTTCAGACCATAGTTCTACATGTTATTGTGGTATTTCTTTAATTATTTAGCTGTCTGCCACATTATTGATCATTATTCACATTCCATATTGGTCAAATGCTTTTAATTTGTTTAGCTCAAATAAATGTTAACTTCATTACTCATGCCCTCAGCCAGTCTCTTTTGAATTCATTTATTTATTAAGTCTTTAAGAAAATGAAAAAGTATTTCTAATTGTTATGACATTATGCCCCTGTACTGATGACACAAAGGTTATCAATTTTAAAATGACCTCTATATCAGCAGAGAACAGAGAAACACTTTTTCTGAAAAAGTTTCACATTGCAATACAAATGATAATTCACTTGCAGTAAAGGGCCATTGCCCTGTGAATAACTTGAACGTTATGCTAAACAACAAAAGCACTAAGTCTTCTTAAATCACAAGATCTGGTAAATACATTCCCCATTCACTGAATAACAATAGACCCATTATGTTTAGTTTTAGGCATTTGATTCCTATCTTTTCAACAAAATGCCTTTTAAACGTCTGCCTGTATGCAGAACCAGATGCTGTAGGTGTACCACTTGTCCACATGGAAACCCTACACATGGCACAAAGCTGCGGAGGGAACGACAGTAATTTTTGGAAGCTAAGCTGTATAAATGGGACTGGAATCCCAACTACTAACTTCTGAAACAGAAGCGATAGAGACACAGTAGATAGTTTAAGCTTAAGATAAACCCTTCTTTGAAAAATATGAATTGGTTCCATTTCATTTCAATTAACTGGACAGGTAAACATCTAAAAGGAGAGGAATCACTGTGTCAGATAAAGATGGTGACAAAGAACGATAATCCATCTGCTCATTACCTCCAGGAAGAAAGGGAAATTTAGCGCAGCAAAAGCCCTTGAATTTATCTTGAGGGTGAAAAACGTGATTCATAGCAAATCTGAGTAACATCAGAAACACAGCATACATACATTGTCCATTGCTGGTAATATACCACTATTGCCAATGGAAATGAATTACGTATGTGAGTATATTATTATCAAAGTCTATACCTTTGTAACATGTTTGATTGAACCAACTGTGAGGTTTCTTCGACGATGTTTCACGCCTGGAAGATCCCAAAGGTGATCCAGCACAGTCTCCCCTTCTTCTAGTACATATTTCCGACCCTGGAACTTTGGTTTCTCATAAAAAATCCAACTGTAATAATGATATCATGAAGTAAATTGTTGCTGTTAGATAAGACTGTCATTATACAGCACGTTTGCTGGAAAGCTCAGTACTGAGCTCTTCTTATCAAGCCAGCTATCAGCCCTTTCTTATGCTGTCCCTCAGTAGTCACATTCATTTTAGATAAATAAGAGGCTTGTACTTTTGTGCTTTAGAAGTAAAATATACAGTTCTCCTCCTCCAGGATGTAGTCTAACGTAACTTAAAATACTAACTGAATAAAAATACAGCTAAACCACAATGTAAATAAAAAGCCTTATATTACTATAACAAATATATTTGACACATCAAAATATGTCCTGTTCAAGCAGATACTATGCAAGGCATAAAACATAAACATACTAATAATGGCATTCAGTATTTCTTAGATGTGAAAGAAATGTGTGCAAAACCAAACAAGGCTACCTCAAAACTACATAAACGTGACATGCATTGTTACTATGGCTGACAGTCGGAAACATTCATTGTAAGCACCACCAATTCAACTCCAATGCAACAACTGGCACCGTCCCAGCCCCAGCTTCCCAAAGTAAACCGAGAAACACTTGCAAAAATCTACCTTAAAGGTACTTGTATATTCTTCTGCAACCACATTCCTCTAAATGCTACATTATAAACAGCAGCTGAGACTGTTCATTTTACAGTCCTTCTGCAACAGCTACAGTATCATGAAACTGAACTACAAAAAAAGCCATTTTCTTTGGCCTACACATGGTTCTAGTGATGGTTATGGCTGTACTGTCTCAGCACTTCAGGCAAGAAATCTAAATGTACTTGTGGTTCTATTAGAAACTTCCTGTTTGAAGCTAGTTCCCAGGAGAAACAATATTTTTATTTGTGCTGCAGCATTTGAAGCCTTGTTTCATGCTTTTTTCATTGGTATCATTCTGATTACAAAGAAAGAAAGAGACACTCTTGCAGATCAGATGTGTGTCATAAATAAAAGAGATGAAAATACAAGAGAAACACACATACAGTCTTTTGGAAATACTCTATTTAAATATGACCTGAATTTCTTACCATCCTCTAATTATCCTAAGTAATGCTCCAATGGGAAAGATCCAGGATGTGGTATCTAGCACATCAGAATGAACTTCTTGTTTACTTTTGTCGCCATAAATATCATAAATAATAATCTGAAACAATATACAGGTTACACATTTTCTTCTTTTATGAAACACTCTATTGAACTAAAACAGCAGTTGCTGACAGAAGTGCAGTAAAATTACTAGTGGTAGGATTTTTAATAATATAAACTCATTATTAGCATGTGCAAGCATATGCACCATTAAAATACAGAAAACTAGACTAACAATTTCAGATGCTTTTCATTCAAAAATTTTGGTATAACAAATTATTCCATGTATCATGTTCATCTATGTGACACAAATTCTGCTTACCTTTCCTGGTCTTGGATTGCATTTGAGACTTGCCCTGTCAATGAGGTTCTGAAATTAAAAGGACATGGAAAACAACTATTAAGATCTACAACAATAGCACAAAGCACAGACAGGTTATTCTGTGCCCTCTGTTCCTCTAAATGTATGCAAATATCACTAGCAGAAACAACGAAGATTTGTTTCACTGTCATTCAGAGTTGGTATAAATAGTTCAACAAAAACAATCAGCAGAAAGCAGCAAATGCTAGAAAGGCAGAACTACTATGGAAGTTGTAACTTCTGGAAATGCATTGCCCTTTCCCAGCAAACAATAAACTGCATGTCTTAACAGTAGCAAAACCAAAACAGACCTCTAACACAGACTGAAATATTCCCAACTTCATGAAAAGACGTTCTTTTTCAGTTATGCATTTGGTCTATGTGGCCTTTTCAGTTTCTAAATATTGGAAGAACTGTTTCCGTACTCTCATCTGCCATAGTTTTAAATAAGCTAAGAAAGAAATGCTGATTTACAGAAGCAGCTATATTACATACTGGCTAACTGAGCTACAATTTGTAGAGACTCTGTAGAGACTCAGTGATGAAACAATTAAATAGCCCAGTAAGCAGAAATTTGTATTTTTTGGATAACACAGCTCTACTAATCTCAGCAGTGAAAGAAACAAAACAGTAATTTTCATACAAAAGGCAATTCCATAATCTTCAGGTTGAAATGTCCTTAACATGGACAAGTCTGCATTTTGCTATTATACAGATTTGCTATTATGCATATTTTCCTATTATATTTTCTGTTCACATATTCTGTTTTACAATTAAGTCACTTTCAGCCATGTGCTGAACCAAGAATATTATGTTTTTAAAATTACTTTAACAGAACACTTTTTTTTTTTAAAAAACTGTGATCTTAAACAGCCTAATTACTTTTGTTTATGATAAAAGAATTAACCTTAAAAAGGGAGGAAGGAGAATAGGGAGACAACAATTTTGAATCTGGGCTAATCTCTTTGATGATTAATATTATGTGACACAACATCTTACCGCTGACAATTCTCCCAGTTTTGGCATGGTGTTGTCTTGAAACCAATGAATCTTTGGCTGCAACATATCTTGGAGAATGCTTCCAAACCTGGTCCCCTTCTCAGAGGAGCAATTGCTGGCAGATTTCAAATACTGGTAGTATACACTTGAAGGAGGACGCTTTAGAGCAGCATCGACTTTCTGTGAAACTAGCTTGCAAGGTGTTTGACTGGGAGAAGCCACATCTGGAAACTGTTCTGATTGCTCCTTGGAGTCAAGTTGTTCTTTTGAAAGAAAAGGTGATTGTCCAGGAAACAAAGATCGATGTTGGTCATTTGATTGAATGGTTGTTTTTAAATTCCCTCTCCACTGACTGGACAGACAGTCGTCTTCTCTCCCTACATCAAGTATATTTCCTTCATATGATGATTCTTCTTCCTCCTCATCCTGCACTCCCTCTTCCTCCTCGTCATCCTCCTCTTTACTGAACTGAGTAGTAAACTGTAAGCGCTCAGAAACTGACTGGAGAAGGGAAAGCACAGAAGCGTGTTCAGCGTTATCTTTAGACATTCCACCAGGATGGCCTTCTGGCGACACATCTGTGGAAAGCAAGTCTTCTTGGGAGCTGTCGTCTTCATATATTGGAGACAAAGAGAAAGGATATACTCTATAGCGTTTGGCCTCCACACTCAGAAATGACTCTGAGCTATGGCTATCTGTTGCTTCATTCAACTTGTTACCCCTCCCATAAAGACAGGCTGGCTCATGTTTATTCTTTGCTCTTTCACACATTAGATGATCTATATTATCTGAAGGCAAATCAGAAGAAGAAAGCGAACCAGTTTGCATATCATCAGTTGAGACAGATTTATTCTCGGTTTGAAGGGTACCTTCATAAACGATAGTAAAAGAACTGTTTTCCCACTGTTCAATTAGTGGGGAAAAGGTCAAAAGATCTGTCGATTCCTTAACGTTGTCACTGCAGTCCAGACCATTTTCTTCAAGTTGATAATTTCTTTTCATGTCTTGATCCTTCATATGTACCTGCTTCAGATTCTCATTATTTTGGACAAAGACTGCGTTGAAGCAGTCTTTCCCTTCACTGTCCTCTCCAATAACAGACAATTCAGGTATAATAAACTGTGTATTTAATCCAACATTAACCTCTCCTATCTCACTTGCCCCTTCTGCTAGTTCCTCTTTATTCTCCACTGCCTTTGAATCTTCTAAGGTTGCTTTTACTTGTACAGGTACTTCTTCTGCAGCCTCTCTTCCACAGTGTTCATACAGACTGTCCTCTGCACTGCTTTCCAGAGACCTCTGAGGACTGCTTTTGTCTTTGGATTCACTCTGCATGCCGATACACTCTTCATCAGGCATAGAAGATGACAAATTAACATTTACAGTTGGCAGCAATGTGCACTCTGGCATATTTGTATTATTACATGAATCTTTTAACTGCAATGACAGAAGCATCTCTTCAGTCACAGTAGCATCTCTATGTATTGAAGGTCCATCAGATTTTCTACTAGTTGCTGATACTCTAGCTTTGCCACACAACTCCGCTGCAGGCAGATGTTCACACACCTTTCTATTGTGTCTCTCTTTTGCTGGTGTCGTAAGATCCGATTCTGGCTTTGCTGAACTACCAGTGGGTGGAAATCCATTTGTTTGACATGTAAATGCATTATTTGGTATCTTTTCACCTCTTTGGGGCCAATCTATGTCATTTTCTATACTATCTGGAAGTAAAGGAGGACCTAAGCAATCTGACTTTTCACAGTTTACTGCTACACTCCGAGTTTCCTCCTTCTCTGTTGGTTCCTGTGTTTTGGCAGGTAACTTCATATCCAGGTTTAAAATTTTTGGGGTTTCAGTCTTAGGTTTAGGCTCAACCTTTTCAGAAGGTCCTTTACTCTCACTGCCTTGCCATGGACTGGATGCCAGTTTTTGTTTGGCTGAGTTAATGACTTCATCAATTATTTCCTTTGCTTTTAATGCTAGTGCACTATGTAGGTCGGTTTTATCAGGGATGTAAGATAGTATCTTTTCATCTTGATTATTTGTATCCACTGCTTCATTTCCTGTAAATGAAGATGAGCCTCCTCCATGGCTCTCATTAAAATGTTTTAATGACTGCACAGCTGACTGGATGTCTTCTGCTTCCAGCTGTACAGTTCCAGCTTTCTGATCATTTAGAATACCCGTATTTATTAAACTGTCCTTGCTCCCACAAAGCTGGCAGACACCAATGGCTTGTTTTGCTATTATTTCTTCTATAGCCAAGTGTAAAACTGAGTCCACTATTTCCTCAGCTTTTCTACACAAAACAGCAGCATCCTGGAATGTAGCACGTTCTTGTCCCTTCACATCGGTATCTTCCCATATTTCCTCAGAACAGAGATCATTTGAATCTGCAGGTGCAGCACCTGTTTGATCACCTGTCGCAGAAGCGGTTTCTGAGATACCAGAAGCACGGTTACAAAGACTGACCTGTCCCACAGCTTTTCTGCATGTGCTCTCAGTACAGGCTGACTCAGATGTCATTTCCAAAGATTTCCAAGGACCGACGGGTGATGTCATTGCCTCTGCCAAGACACTGCTGTCAGCCTGTGGTGCAAAAGAGGCCTCCTCTGCCCCATCGCTAGCTCTGTGACTGGAAGAATTACTGTTCCCCTGAGCAATGCCCACTGTTTCCAAGGCAGAAACAGAAAGATTGGAGGCTTCTCTGGATCCCAGAGTAGGTGAAGTGGGCCTGGGGATGCAAACACTCCCCACATCTACTCCGGCAGCAGAGCTATCAAACGTAGCTGGAGTAAGCTCAGGTTCCAGAGAATCAGCCAGGCACAAAGCTCTCAGGTCTCCTGAGCAAAGTGGCACCTCAGTTATTCTGTCCTCAGGGATTATTCTCCTAGACTCAGGAGCTGGAAAAATAAAGCTGTCCTGTTCAGAAGCAGCAGACCATCTAGCAGTCTGGCCATTTGCAGAGTTAATGGCAGGAGAAGGCATTTTTCCTTGGTTGTCAGATGAAGAAGCAAGTACTTTGGGTGATATCCTAGGCTTATTACTGTTTTCCTCCTTGGAAGAAAAATTAATACACCTATCTTCAAAAATGGGTGGAGATTCAGAAATTACATCTACATCAACATCTTTTTCACAGATGAAAGCAGAATGGTTGGTCAAAGGTCTTCCTCCATATCTCAAGGCAGAATAAGAAATCTCCAGATTGTTTTCTTGTGGCTTAGAAACATGAGAGGAAAACTCAGAGGTGCAATCTCTACACTCAGAAGGAACAAGAGTAACCTCAGTCACACCAGTCTTGTTGATTTTAGAAGCATTTGTCCTGTCAATGGTGATTAAAGGGCAAGGTGCAGGCTTTGCTGTGTTATCTTCTGTGAGTGTAACTAATGCCTTGGCAGGAACAGCTTCAAGGGAAACAGGACCATGGTTGTGGACAGGAACAGAGTTTTCTGAGAGGCTCATCTCTACAGGCTCAAAGGATTTGCTCTTCTCATATTCAAGATCAGGACAAGAAAGTGTCTGTCTCTCATCTTTTAAACTGACTTCTCCTTTCCCCATAGTTTCATTTTTGGGCTTGCAACTAGGATGAAGAAAAGCTGAGCAACAGCCTCCAGTTTCAAAAGAAGACTCGTAAGTAACAGAAAGAGGTGCTGTCAGCTCATTGAGGTTAGATTTCACACTTTGACACCCATCTATGCATGACAATACATTGGCAAGGTTTTCCACTGCAACCTCAGATAAAACCTTCATTGTTTCCACACCCTCAGTTTCTAGACAAGGTAAACCAGACTGCTGTGTGGCAGTATCCTCAGAATTCTCCACATGGATTAACTGGTGATCACTTTGTATGTGCGTTGGTTTCCCTAACTCACTTAGTTCTTCATGACAAGTGCCCCTGTCCGTGACTGTATCCTCATCATTTCTAATAGATGACACTGAAGCAGTTAGATTACCTGTGGCTATAGATTTTTCTCTTTTGGACTCCGTGCTAAGCAAAGCGGGTATTTGTTCATTAAAAGGTAAAAGAACAGTAGCAAAAAAGTTCTGTTGATTTTGCTCTCTTTCTACAGCTGCCACAATTTTCTGTGCATCACTTTTTCTTGGATCACTATGTTTATTTGCACTACCTGTATCCTGATCTGCTTGCTGCTGAAATGTAGTGCTACTGGAATGAAGCATCTGGGCATCCAATGCTAGTGCCGAGTCACTCTCCATTTGATGATTACAGCAAAATTCTTCTGTACTCACCTGTAGTTCTTCATTAACTGTCTTATTTTTTGGTTTGGGTGAATGTAAACTATCATCCTGCATTTCTTTTGTGGACATTTTATTAACTGTTTTACTACAATAATTTTCTTTATCAAAGTTAGAAGTGGCATTTTGATCTGCCTGAAACAGAGCTTCTGCTTCTCCCAGCAGTCCATCTTTACCAACCAAATCATTTGCAGAACTCATTTTAAAGGTACTGCTAATCTGGGAAGTGGAATTAGTTAGGATCTCACTGTTTCTACTACTAGATGACAATAACGAATCTAGTGAATAAGTCCTTTTAATTTTTGTTGCAGCTAAAGCAGGTGTATATTTTAAGTCTGTCTCATGGGATGATTCAGTAGATGAAGTTGTGGCCTTTGCAGTTATTTCATATTTACTGCTACCCAAGCAATGCTGAGCTTTACCAGACTTTTTCCTTCCCATTTTAACTGCAGAAGAATTTACTACGGCATCATCTTTGGGATCTTTACCCTCATCGTCTTGATTTTCTTTTAGTAAGTGTCCTGATTTTGGAGGCACGCTTGTTTGGATTTCTCCATTTTCTTTGACCACTGAACCATTTCTGTTCTCAGTACTTTCTTCTCCTTTTTGAGCCATTTCTGATTGATTCTTCAGTAGCTGCCTAATCCTTGCAGAACCTCGATATGTTGCATAAGTGACTGCGGGTGCTTCTGGCTTCCGTTGCATCTGCCTGTAACAAGGATCATCATTATCAGCACAAGACAGACTATCTAAATAGCTAGTGTGATAATAAAGGTTAACACCAACTGTAGATGATGTACAATACTGTTTTCCTCCACAGGTTAGCACAAACTGTAGATTGCATGCAACACTATTGTCCTCCTTTTTCTGTTCTTCCTTAAATAGAGGTTTATGTGACAAATGATACATACACTACCCTTTACTGAAAAAGCCAGCTTAAACCATAAGCAAAAAGTAGCTGTTGCTATTAACAACTTCCATCATTTGCTTTCAACTAACAATGGAATCACTATTTACAAATGCCACTGCAAGTCAACATTAGCAGTTACAGAAATAAGCATACTTTTGTGAAGATGCTAGATCTTCAGGCCTATACTTTAAAACTAAAAACAAATACTGTACTCATGTTCATTGAAATATTGAAATATTGAATTGAAGTTTAAATTTTCACCCAAGCTCTCAACATATTGTTATGGAACAGGAGTAGGAGAACCAAAACACGTGGAGAGAAGAAAGTATACAACAGAGGATGCTTTCTGAACCACAGGACAGTAAGTAAAGACAGTGAATAGAGATCAAGTAGGAATGAAGACTACTTGAATGCTGGAAGAAGTATCAAAATGAGAAGCCTAGAAATGTGACAAGGAATTGGTAGATCTAGCCATTCATCAGTCTTAAATTTAGTAGCAAAAAAAAGTGAATGGAAAAACTAAAAAATGAAAGAATCATCATGGAAAACCTGTGATCCTAATCCTTCACTGCTCTTTCTGATAATACTAAGAATAAATTCAGAGCCTGTCACTTTCAGTTTTCTGAAGAAGCAGTTTTTCCTCTTTCATAAAACTAACAGACATCACAAATACTCACCTTTCTTGCTAATGCTTCTCTCTTTCCCACCTATTTTTTTGTCACTTAAAGAATTCTTGCAAAAATCAGGCAGTGACAATATGAACGTGACTGTCAGCTTTTCCATTCCTCCCCTTAGGACAAAGCAGACGCTCAGACGGTGCTTAAACTCCATTCTGCCTCAGCCTCCACCTAAACTAAGAACAAACCCTTTCAAACTCCTATCCAGTCTGACCCTATGCCTGCTAACTCGGTGGCTGGAAGTGGCCTTTCACCTGCCTGGGAAATAGTCACGCTCCTTTCAGTAGGGTCTCTTGGAGGGGGAAAAAAGTGTTTGCTAAGATTTTGGTTTCTAATATAAAAGCATTGCAATAGGTAAAAAATATCTTAATAGCATCTTTAAAAGCTCTTTGCAGCTTACCATTAGTTTACATTTATTGAGAAGCTATTACAGCTCTAGAGTTGAGAACACATAATTTAAGTGAGAAATAGAACATAAATTTACTAAGGAAAATGGAACAACAAAATAAATAATTTTCTTTATTTGAGTATCATTGAGTAACTGGAACTTGAAATATTTTCTGTATGGATTCTAAGTATGTACTCTCTCAACAGGTATAGAAGAATATAAAAATGGAGTGGATTTACCAATCTAAAATAGAATGCCTCTTCTGTCAAGGTTTTAGAGGCCCAGATTCTTACTTCAATGTTAATTTTATTTTGAAGAGGGAACTTCATATTACTTAAAATCACAAGTAAGCTCCCTCCTTGTGCAGCATTTGCACATGCAAAGAGTACAAGTGAATTAAAAGTGAAATTATTCATATCCATAAATATTAAACCAGAGATATAAACAGTCATTTATATGCATGTTTTACCCATGCTAATGCCCAAATATATGAATATGGGAATTTAGACATTGTGAGAACTTGAAAATTAAGTTTGTATTCAGATTAAATTCATTGTAATCTCTGATGAGGCTACAGTAGAATCTCAATATAGGGTTTATTAGCCAGCTATATTAAGCCATAGAGGAAACAGGAAAGTCGTGTATAAATAGCACGTCTCCCAAGCATTTGCAAACTTAGATGCCTACATTTAGTCTTCTATACCACTAGCTTGGTTTTCAGAGATACCAACAATGGTAGCTGCTAAACATCACATACACCATTTGCTAAAGTTGCTGTCTTCAGCATTCACATCTCTTCAAAGAAACGTACACATTTCTGAGTGAAAGAAAACAAAACACAGTTGGAGAAAGGGTAATAGAGAAAAAAAAAATTTTTTTTCTTTCCTTTAAAAAAAACACACTTTATTTTCTACTTTTTTACTGAAATCTTTACATTAGAAAATATTTTGCAAAGCTCCAGAGATCCTAAAATTCTCAGGGGAAGGATCTGTTGAGTTCTACATACAATATATTCACTCGGCATCAAACAGTCATAGCCATAATAAAAGTCTTAAGAATGTAAGACCTGATCATGCTCTCATTTATAATTTAACCTTACTAAGTAACCTTTCCTATTTCAGTTAAGTCAGAATAAGGTCAAAATGTTTTAAATAATCATTATTAAGCTTTTAGAAAAATCTATCAGCTGTCCCATACTTTAGCTCAAAAATAAAAGCCAGTCTACAACCGTCTTGAATATAGATAAAATTTCTTTCAAGAAAACAAACAACACAGGTTAGCACCAATTCTTGAAAAGGAAAACTGTAATGATATGTGTTTAAAGTGAGCACATTAACAGTATTGCAAAGTACCAAACACTCATTTCCACCAAACAAGGCATTATTTTGAATAAATGGCTTGGTGACAATTAACTTCTACTGAGTGTCTTTCATTTCATGGTTGATATTTTGCCTGATATGCAGTGGAAAGAATTCCGAATTTATCTATAAACATGTGGTGAGAACTAACACTCTGGCAAACCTGGAAAATGTCCTTCCATTTGTCTCCCATATCCAACTTCAGCTTCAAATTTCTCCCATGAGCTCAGCAATTCTTAAACCCAAAGCACTCAAAGAGATGAATAGGTTAATTTTACAGAATATTGCCGACACAGGCATGACAAGGAGAAGTCAGGATGGGGTACTATATTCACGTTCATTTGAGCTACAGATCCCAACAAAGAGTTATTCCATTTATTATACATGGTTAGGCAAAACAAATGTACTCAGAAGTACTCAGTCTTTGCCTATGTGGTGCCTTTTATAACTTCTCTCAATTCTTTTTGCTCTCCATTTGTCTTCTGAGGGAATTTTATGCTCTGATTGATCAATTTGAAATTTGAGCAAGAGTCAGAGCAATCTGCCCTACGGAGCTCTGTGCACAAACGCGATCCTGACTAGCACTGGCTCCAGCACCGCTTCAGCTGCAGAGCCTCATCCTATAGCTGGCCTCTGCCGGTGTCTCCTAACACACAGCTCTGCTTTCCTGCAGACTTGCCTCTACCGAGAGTTTCTGCACTGGATGCTATTTTAAAATAAGGAACCAACCTCTCCTCCACAGACATGGCAACTTCAGATCTGTGACCTTTGATAAAGAATTTGCTGTTCAGCATATTACAAAAAATTTGCCAGACCTTTTAGTCCTACTGCATTTACTTTTAGAGCACACAGAAGCGTGTTCAATCTGAACGCTCACACACGAGAAGACGTTTAAAAATGAAAACCCATGTTCCTATGTGGCAACAGCAATTCAGCTGTAAGTCTTGTGAAACACATTTATAAGCAGGCCGTGTCACAGAAAATCTTTTGAAAGTGTCACTAGAGACTTGTTTCACAGACATTTAAAGTAACAATTCATTTCTGATCACCAAAAGAATATGTCAGTTCAGAACTTACCTTAAAAACTCTTCGTAAAATTTTTTTTCAACCCATATGAGGATAGAGATGAAAGCTTGATTATACACAGAACCCAGTGTGTATTCTGTGACATATTTCAAATACTGGGAGATTCCTTCTTTCCCTTCTTCACAGGAAGCTATTCAATTCCCTATAAAGCCTTAATTCAGTTTCACAAAAGACTATTTGACGGCAACAAGAGAAGATGTCAACATGAGTTACATTAAATTTGTCAAAAGTAGGTGCTTGTAGAGATTTCTACTATTCTGAAAGAGAAATAAAAACTTCAAGGGGGGCTAACTCAAGGAGGAGAGGGGAATATCTTCTGACATCTGATATGACAGACATCTTGTGTAACTTGCCCAAAAAGTGGCATTAGCTATAAAACAATCTTGTTGGTTTTGAAGCCCTGAAGCAGGAGGAAACCTATTACCTTGAATGCCTCATCTCAGTGCATCCATAAAGACTATGTTGTTTGCATCTTTTTCAAGTGTACGTCACCAAGATGGTCACCTCTCCAATCTTTGTATTTGTACCATCTATTTTCAAAAAGATGGAAGATCATTCAGCATGATACAGTACTACATGGGTGCAGCATCTCAGATTCCCAGGTAGCACAGCTTCATTTGCACAGCACGGCTTCTATGGTAGAAAACCCTTACAACCAGCATCACTGCTTAGCTCTGGGCTCACTAGCTCAGGCTCAGCAGTGCTGAAGCATGAGCATACTGTTGGCTGGCCTGTTTCTGCAGCATGCAACGCTTGGCTTTCCCAAGACATGCAATGGCTGTTTTTTTCCTCCTACCTCACTCTTCCAGATATTTTCTCCCCAGCTGTCTCCTGCTTTTTCAAGCATACATGTGTACGTTTCCCCTAACGTCCTCTCACAGACCCCGCAGAAGTAGCTCCCAGAGCAGAGGGATCTGCAGTCTACAGACTGAAAACCACTGATCTAAATCAGTATGTCTCTTGTGGTTCCTGTCTACCCCTCCCTGACTATTTTAAAATTATGCTATTGTTTATTTTAATTTTTTCCATTTAGCTTTTTTCCTACTGCATACTTAACTGACAACTTTTTTTTTAAATTATGTTAAGGTCCTTTGTCTGGAAACAACTGTCTTAAAGTCACTTTGAAAAACCTTCTGGTGGAATACCACTTCCACAGCCAGCTGGTTTCTACACTCATGTCAGATCTTCATAAATGGAAAAAACCAACAGCCTTATTGAAAAAAAAGACACTGTGGGCTAACTTAAAAGTTGCCATATACAACTTAGATGAAAGAATATGATTTTTTAGCC